AAGAAGCGTTACGAGACAAGAAGTGGAAAAGTGCCATGGACGAAGAGATTAGAGCTATTGACCGCAACAACACTTGGGAGCTACTCGAATTGTCAAAAGGTTGTCGACCCATTGGTGTAAAGTGGGTTTTCAAGAAAAAGATGAATGCTAAAGGAGAAATAGAACGATACAAAGCGCGACTTATTGTGAATGAATACAAACAGAAAGCGGGAATTGACTATGACAAAGTGTTTGCACCTGTTGCAAGAATGGAGACAATTCGATTGCTCATTTCTCAAGCTACTCAATTCAAATGGCCGATATTTCAAATGGATGTCAAGACAGAATTTTTGAATGGTGTACTCAAAGAAGAAGTCTATGTCGAACAACCACTTGGGTATATGAGGATTGGAGAAGAAAAGAAGGTGCTAAAATTGAAGAAAGCGCTATATGGGCTGAAGCAAGCACTGCGAGCATGGAACACACGTATCGACACATATTTCTAGGAGAATGGGTTCGAGCAATGTCTGTATGAACATGCCCTCTATGTGAAGAAAAATGGAAGTAATGTATTACTTGTTGCTCTCTATGTCAATGACCTTATTTTTCTAGGCAGTGATGATCAGATGATAGAAGAATTCAAGAGCACCATGACACGCGGATTCGAAATGACAGACTTAGGTCTGATGAGATTCTTTCTTGGTCTAGAGATTCGACAAGAAGAAATTGAAATCTTTATTTCACAGGAAAAATATGTAAAAGAAATCTTGAAAAAATATAAGATGAAAAGTTGTAATCCAACTTCGACGCCAATGGAACCAGGTGCAAAATTGTCGAAATTTGATGGAGGAGAACGTGTCGAAGTAAGAAAATATTGAAGCTTGGTAGGTAGTCTTTGCTATCTCACATGCACTAGGCCGAACATTTTATTAAGTGTCGACATTGTAAGTCGATTCATGGAGGAGCCAATACATTCACATTGGAAGACATTGAAACAAATCCTAAGGTACATCCAAGAAACAATGTCATTTGGAATGTACTATTCAAGAACAGAAGACTACAAGTTAGTTGGTTACTCTGACAGTGATTGGTGCAGAGATATAGGCGATCGAAAAAGTACTTCAGGATACGTGTTCTTCATGGGAAACACCGCATTTACTTGGCTTTCTAAAAAGCAACCGATAGTAACACTTTCGACATGTGAAGTTGAATATGTGGCAGCATCTTGGTGCGTTTGTCATGCAGTATGGCTTAGAAGATTGATGAACAAAATGGAGCTAAAACAGGAAGGTGCAACTGTAATACAAGTGGACAATAAATCAGCAATCGAGTTGGCAAAGAATCCAGTAAACCATGAAAGAAGCAAACACATTGACGCTCGCTTCCACTTCATTCGAGAGCATGTGAAGGAATGAAGTGTCGAATTGATACATGTAGCAATCAAGGATCAAGTAACATATATTTTCACAAAATCATTATCGAAAGAAATTTTCGACAGAGACGAGAAATTGATAGGCATGATGGATAGAAGAAACATTTAAGTTTACAGAGGAGTTTTGTTGAATAAACTTTAATGTTATTGATAGTGGACTTCTATTAATAAGTTAGTGGGAAGGTTAAAAGTATTATAATTGGAAGGCCAAGAGATAGTGGCTTATAATAGTATTTACTAATATTATTTGCTTTCTTAAAATAGTAGAAGTCTTTGAGTCTATATAAAGACCAAAATTATATTCTATTTTACAACAAGTTATATAAAAGTATTTGCTCCCTTTCTAAGAGATGTGATATAACATATACGCATAATTAGGTAATTACAATTTTCAGCTACTATTGTTATCTTCTTAGTCGTCCATTTATTCCTTGACAGTGCATGCTTTCTTGTGTTCCTTTTCTTTCCCTTATATTAGGAGCTTAGCTTTGATTCCTTGAGAGACAATCTTGCTGGAAATAGCGAACACCTTGTGATGAGATTGTGATGAGATGGTAATAGAGTTATGTAAAGTCATACCATGATACGTTACAGGTATTATTTGGTAAAGCGAAAAATCGAACTTGATTTTTGTATTATGAGTTCTGTTTTCAATTATAGTTCTTTTCATTAAACTTCTTCCTTAACAATTTCAATATACAATTCTTTTTAATTGTTCTTAAAATTTTCTTTTTCTAACTTTATCTTCTAATATAATAAAAACTTTTGCATAAATTTCATGATTTCAAATGTTAAAGAACAATAGATTTTGATTGCACTTGAACAATAGTTGATTAGCAACTTCTAAGATTTTTAATTTGCATTGTAATAGTTACACACACAATCTATCTCAAGAGTCTCTATACCACAACATTCATTTTATTTTAATTAATTAGTAATTATTTTTATTTGAGAAGCAAAATTTTTATTTTTAATATTAAAATTTTTCTTTTTTTCCTTTTTCCATCTCACAAATCATTTTTATTTTTATATTATAACATATTTTATACCATATCATATTAGTGCATATAAATAAATTAAAATTATAAGTTATTTTTAGAATTTCAATGAAATGTTAGTATTTATTTTTAATTATATTATTTTTTATTATTTTTTATTATTTTTTCACGGAGCACTCTCAACACAATATATATTTTAATTTAATCAACTATTATCTTAATATGAGAGATAAATTCATTATTTTTAAATATTTTTTTCTTTTTTTTGTATGACTATTTGATATAATTAAATCTATATGATTATTGTTTATTTTACAAATAAGTAAATCATTTCAAATTTTGCATTTATATCTAAAATTTTACATTTATATTTGTTAAAATTTCATTTTTTTTTCTCTGACTCACATGTCCTTTTTTATATAGTTATTTAATATAATTGATTTTTTATGATTATTATTCGTTTATAATTAAACCATTCATTTCAAACTTACATGTTTCGAAATATATTTTATACAATATCAAATAAATATATTTGTGCGGGAGCACGGATATCTTACTAGCTCATGTTGTTTTTAGTTTTCAAAACAAAATTTCCACGGAGGAAGTTATCGACTGAGTCGTGGAACGGTACACTTTCTTTAAGACGTTTTGCGGTACTGTTAAAATTTATGCAAAACAACTCTTAATAACCACGATGCCTCCAGGATAAAACAACTTGTTCACAAAAGGGTTATGATTATCACTTGCACTATGATGAATCGTTCGAAGAAATACACCTTCAGATGGTGTTTAAACTACTCGTAGTATTTGAAAAATTTCAGTCAATGGGACACAAGGCCATTCGAAAAATACAGACGAAAGAAACAGTTTTAAGATGAAGAGAATAGAGAAGGAGAAAAGTGATTCCAAAATTTCCAAGAGTTCATATATATATATATATATATATATATATATATATATATATATATATATATATATATATATATATATATATATATATATATATATATATATATATATATATATATATATATATATATATATATATATATATATATATATATATATATATATATATATATATATATATATAAACTTTAGATGCTCAAAATCTTTCAACTAAATCATTTTATGTTTCTTAAATCGTGCATGATTCTCACTCAAAGCACATCTTTTAAAAAGCAAAAAAATCAAGTTTTTAAAAGGTGCGATCGATTAATATAATATTGCAGTTTATTGCTTGAAGCTACTGACTCTTACAATTGAAATTTTTAAGGGAATAATCGATTGTTAGGGTTTCTTTTGCCTTAAAAAATAGACCTTACAATCAATTAATGGTTTTGAGAAATCGATTGATGTTGTGTAATTTTTTTTTATATTTTTTGAATGTTGCAAATGGAACTATGATTGATTTTCTAGTACAATTGATTGCTTCTTGATGTTGTGTGAAACATTATGAACCACTATGATATCTTTTCATTACAATCGTTCATGAAACCTTTTCAAATCATTGCAATTAATCATGAATATTTTTCGGTCATTGCTACTCATTCAAGAGGCATTTTATGATGTATTTAAAGCAAAAAAAAAAAATCATATTTCAATTCACTTCTTTCATCACAATATTTCAAATTATTCTTATTGTTTTCAAGTATTCATACAAAATGACTTTACTGCCTAATTTTCATAAAAAATTTCATAAATCATTGATCACTTAATGTTTACATTCATTGCCGCAACAATTGTGCTTGTCAATGGTTGAGAAAAATATTTAAAGAGCTACAATTAAAGCAAGTTGAACCTACCACAATTTTTTGTGACAACATTACACCAATCAAATTTTCTACATGAAGTAAATTACATAGATGTGAAATATTATTTTCTAAGAGATCTTTGCAATGATGGAATAGTTAAACTGGTTTATTAAAAGAGAGAAAATTATCATATTGTAGACATTATGACCAAGCCCCTAAAACTTGTTGCATCTGTCAAGCTTTGATGTATGTTAGGAGTTTGTTCATTAATGGATGCAAAACAAATAAACCAGCTAGTTTTAGGGATTCTTGTAAATAGTGGCTATATGCTTAAATGGCTAGTTTTATGAATAATAAGCATCCAATATTTTACATCAAGAAGAAGAAGAACATATGAAAAAAGACACCAAAGAAATCTTAGTGCAGACTTGAAGAGGTCACAGAAAAAATGATATGCAACAAAATGGTATAGTTTAAGTTGATGCACTCATAAACTTAGTAATGCAGCAAAAGAGCATAAACTATATATCCATGGATGCAAAAGTTTAATGAGAAATTGGAGCTTCTCTCTACATATTTACATAAAACCTAATAGCATCATTTTCATAAAATCTATAATGTGATTAACATTGATGAAAACATAAACTTGTTTTCCATTTTCAACTAACATCCAAACACATCATTCAAGAAAATGATAGAGATCTTTACAATCCAAATACAAACACAAAACGTAATTAACACTAACACCTAACTAATATCTTTCTTATTTCCGGCACGATTCCATCTTCAACGAACAGCGTCCATCGAAAACGAAAACAATATTACCTTTATCCTTCACTACTGCATCTCGATGTTACCGCCGGGAGCCACCATTGCTGCAGCACGTCTTGCTTGCAGCCAGTTCTTAAAACGCGGGTAGCCCACCCAGTAGCCTAGTGCAGCACAGATCAACGCCGTAGGGATGGTGACAGAAAGCAGAAATCCCAGTGGCGTGGAGTTGTCATCGGGGGTTTCAACATTTGCAGGTGAAAATGAGGATTCAACAACACTTCTGAATGACATTGTCATGATTTTCTTGATTCAATGGAGAAGAATGAGAGGCACAGAGAGAGAGAGAGAGAGAGAGAGAGAGATTTGTATTGAAGAGAAGTATTAGACAATGAAGAAGTTAGAAGTTAGTTATTCTGAAATATAGTTAGTTATAATTCTGTTTAGTTAGTTAGTCTGCGAGTTACAATCACCTACAACTTAGTTAGTTAGTTATGGTGATCCCTCACTCATTCATGTTTCATAATAAGAATAGAATAGAAGAGAAGAAAGAGTATAATTTTTCCAGAGAATGAATAATATGGAGGGAGAAATTGGTTGTTGAAAGCGGGACCCACAAAAGAATAACTCATCTCAAAGAAATATTAATATTTTATTATATTTGTAAAATGAGTTATATCTTAATAATTGATTTTGTTGCAAACTCATTTCTAATTTGAGATGGATGATATTTTATTTTTTATTTTAGTTGTTACATTTTAAATTGTTATTTTTTGTTTTATTTTTGAAAATATTTATATGAGTTGGGTTAGAAAATTTATTGGAATCAAGGTACATATCAAAAAATAAAAATTGCTTACAAAATACACCGTTTTCTTTGATTTATAATGTAAAAAAAAAAAATCATCTAAGAAATTGTCCGAAAGATAACTTTTGGAATTTTTTGAGCTTTTCTCTATGACATTTTTTTAATTTGTGAAATGGTTTCGGAAATATTATTCACTTTTAATGGAGATATTTTCAATTTAATTATTTTTAATTTATAAAAATAAATTTGTCAAGTATTTTAAGCTCAGAGATATTAAAAGTATTAAGTTGAGGTATCAAGAAAGCAACAAAGTTCAACGTCAATCAAAACATTAAGAAGGTCTGAACGAATGATTATAACGGATAAGCACAAATTACTAATCGAATATAATTGTTTGAAACGCACAATTTCAAATCAAATCTAATTCAGTCTGGCGTGTATAGAGGACCAAATCTCAGCATTATTAAAAATCTCATCAAAATCTAAAAGATTGAGAAAATCAATCGGTTAACACAAAATCCACCCGATTAGAAGATCCAAATTTGACGAATTTGGATACGATTTTTGGACAGCACAATCCTCGTTCAATGCTTTCTCCAAACACAAACCCAAATCCATCAGAATGCACGATATAGATAGGTATTGTATTCTTACTTTCTCTTGCATCTCACTCTTATCTCCTTCTATAAATTTTTCTTGTGTCAGTTTCTTGCCATAAAATTTATCATGAAGTCCTCTCAACAAAGGCCTAAAATACCTCAATAAAAGAGAGAGAGATAGCATTATAGCCTCCATAAGAGACAAGCATGAAGAAGATAGAAAGATGGTCTTAGAAAAGAGAATCTTAGAACCATGGTTTATGGAAAATACCTTCATGAGAAGCTTCAAATCCCACTTCCTCATCTCTCAAGCATCCTTAAGAGAATTCTTCACAAAAATCCTCGATAGAATATACCCAAATCTAGTAAGAGAATTCTACACCAACCTACTTGTTGTAGAAAAAACCTTAATATCATCAGTTAAGAGTGCGAAAATAGTGATTCAGAAAAGAATGACTCAAAAAAGTCTTAGAAATACCCTTCCTAAGAGCCTCTTACAAACCAGACAAATCCACAGGACTCAAAAACTTCAAACGAAATGTAGCCCTAAATTCTCTAGTAATAAATCTCATGGAAGAAAGAAAACTTCCTATCAAGACATATCTCCTAAAATCTAAGGTCATAATTCTTCGTTACCTCCTAACGAAGAACTTACTTCCAAGAAACATAAATAATGACCACATCATCAAAGATGACATTAATCCTTTATAATTTTTTACACAAAATATATCAACTAATTAGGTTGAAGGAGTATTTTTTTCATATGAATAATATGGAAGAAAAAATTGGTTGTTGAGAGTGGGACCCAAAAAAAAATACTTTATATTGTACACACTTTTTCAATCCTTAAAGTGACTAATTTAAAATGTGTAATGTTTTCAATTACATCTCAAAGAAATATTAATATTTTATTATATTTGTAAAATAGTTATATCTTAATAATTGATTTTGTTGCAAAGTCATTTCTAATTTGAGAAGGATGATATTTTATTTTTTATTTTAGTTGTTACATTTTAAATTGTTATTTTTTGTTTTATTTTTGAAAATATATATGAGTTGGGTTAGAAAATTTATTGGAATCAAGGTGCATATCAAGAAATAAAAATTGTTTATAAAATACACTGTTTTCTTTGATTTATAATGTAAAAAAAATTCATCTAAGAAATCGTTCGAAGATAACTTTTGAAATTTTTTGAATTTTTCTCGATGACAATTTTTAAATTTGTGAAATGATTTTGGGGATATTATTTACTTTTAATGGAGATATTTTCAATTTAATTATTTTTAATCCATAAAAATGAATTTTTCAAGTATTTTAACCTCGGGGATATTAAAAGTATTAAGTGGAGATGTTAAGGAAGCAACAAAGCTCAACACCAATTAAAACATCAAGAAGGTCTGAACGAATGATTATAACCGATAAGCACAAATTACTAATCGATTATAATTGTTTGAAACGCACAATTTCAAATTAGATCCAAGTCAGCCCGGCGTGCCTAGAGGACCAAGTCTCAGCATTATTGAAAATCTCATCAAAATCTAAAAGATTGAGAAAATCAATCGGTTAACACAAAACCACTCGATTAGAAGATCCAAATTTGACGAATTTGGATATGATTTTTGGACAGCACAATCCTCATTCAATGCTTGCTCCAAACACAAGCCCAAATCTATCATAATGCACTCTATAAATAGGTATTGTATTCTTACTTTTTCTTGCATCTCACTCTTATCTCCTTCTATAAATTTTTATTGTGTTTGTTTCTTGCCATAAAGTTTATCACGAAGTCCTCTCATCAAAGGCCTAAAATACCCCAACAAAAGAGAGAGATAGAAGTATGGCCTCCATAAGAGATAAGCATGAAGAAGATAGAAAGATGGTCCTAGAAAAGAGAATCTTAGAACCATGATTCATGGAAAATACCTTCATGAAAGGCTTCAATCCCTACTCCCTCATCTCTCAAGCATCCTTAAGAGAATTCTTCACAAAAATCCTCGGTAGAATATATCCAAATCTAGTAAGAGAATTCCACACCAACCTACTTCTTGTAGGAAAAACCCTAATATCATCAGTTAATAGTGCGAAAATAGTGATTCAAAAAAGAATGACTCAAAAAAGTCTTAAAAATACCCTTCCTAGTAGCCTCTTACAAACCAGACAAGTTCACAGGACTCAAAAACTTCAAATGAAATGTATCCCTAAACTCTCTAGTAACAAATCCCATGGAAGAAATAAAACTTCCTATCAAGACATACATCCTAAAACCTAAGGTCATAATTCTCCATTACCTCCTAACGAGGATCTTACTCCCAAGAAATAAAACTATGACCACATCATCAAAGATGACATTACTCCTTTATAGTTTTTTACACAAAACATATCAACTAATTGGGTTGAAGAGTATTTTCTCACATGACCAAATAAAAAGAAGAACCATCAATAGATCTACCATATGGAGCAACGATCACCATCATCCTAAGAGTCTTCAAATTAGAATTTCTATGAGAAAAATCGATTTCATCTGACAACATAATCAACTACACCATCCTCAAATAGTTAAAAATAGATATCAAGTATTCTGAACTTAGAGAATATTGGGTAGATGAGGGAGAAAAAGAAGAAAAGTGAAAACATAAACTTAAAGCAAGTTTGAGAACTTTTTCAAAGCCTAGCTAAATATGTGAAGGAAACTAAGTCAAATATAGGATGAATTGAACTAAGAGCTCTTGATGTTTTCATTTCTTTTCTTGTGTTTTTAAAATTTCTTGTCTTGCACTTTCTCTCTTGTAATTTAATTTTCCTTGCATTTCCCTTATGTAGTTTGAATTCAAATAATATAAGTATTTCTTTCCCTTTTTAATTTTGTTTACTGCCTTTTTTTATATAAATCTTCAAAACTCATTTTTGAATTGCATAAGCTAATAAATGTGATAAACCATATAACGATAATATTAGTCTCTTGTTTAAAGACATGCAATAAAACCTTATTTTGCATAAATACCCTTCATTAACATATTATTTTTCTATGATGTGCTTAAGTAGAATATATATATGTTAAAACCTTGTTACATGATGTGTTTGATTCTTGTAATATTTTCTATAAATGTCCATACTTGCTTATTTCATAGAGTAAAAATGCATATATGATGTTTTCTCCTCAAAATAAACGCTCGACATATTTTAAAATAACAGTTTATTTTCTTTTAATGAAAATAATTATGTTTGAGTATAAAATGCAAGAATATTTTTTAAATGATGTATGCATCTAATTTTGTCTTACATATATGATGTTATGATTTTCCATGATATTTTTCCATATAATGACCATACATGTTTATCTTAAGAATACAATATAATAGTTTTCTCTTAAACATGTGGAGAAGCAGGTTGTTTCCTGACGAAATCACAAGTAACAATTGTCTTTTGATCTAGCTCCCTGCATGATGACTTCATTCTTCTCATTAGTTACCAGACATTCAAACGCAGTAAAGTTGACTTTGAAACCTAGGTCGCACAGTTGACTATGCTTATCAAGTTAGCAGTTAGACCCTTAACAACCAAAACTTTGTTTGGACTTTGAGACCTAGTTCACCTTTTGACCCATCTCTAATGGTGATATAACTAAAGGAATATGGTTTAATGTCTACAAGGAATTTCTTGACGCCAGTCATTTGTCTAGAGTAGTCACTATAAAAAAACTAATCCTCTCTCATAGAAGCTCTGAGCGCAGTGTGAACTACGAGTCCAAGAGTGTCGCTCTTGGGAATCCTTTTAGACTTAGCTTTAACAATATCCAGTGTTCTACTATGATGTGCAACAGAATTGGGATACCCAAACAATTTGTAGCATAAGGATTTTAAATGCCCAAACCTTCCACGATAATCAC